TTTAAACGTTTCTCAAATACTTTACATTACTTCACAACTTTAAAGTTGTGTCTGCATGCTAATGGGATAATTAAGCTAAAAATTTCCGTTATCATTTATTCCCTCTCATATCATCTTTTGTGTTCCGCAGAAGATAGAAATTCATACAGGTTTGTTAAGATTTCTTTTGTGTATCACAAAAGATATTTAAAAATCAAACGTTCATACAATTCAAGTCAATGGGGTCTAATGTTGTTTTGGACCCCATTGACTTTAATTGTATTGACTGTTTCACAGAAGAGAAAAATGAATAGGCCTACAGGTTTGGAAAGACTTTTTTGGGTGAACTATCCTATTAACCGCGGATAGATTTGGATTTTAACATCGGGGGGGGAAATGCTTTTAATGAAATGGTTTGGAGGGAATGACTTTTGTTTTGATAAGTGTTCTAGTGTCCACCTTCATAGAAGTTGCAGATGTGTTACTAGAAAGACTCCATCATGATAAAGCTAACTACAGTCTTTCGATGATGAGTCAAAGAGATACTCATCTGTATTGTTTCAAGCAGGAAAAAAGTCCCTGGGTGTGTGTTCACATCGCTTGTTATTTTACTGGCTGAGGTTTCTTTCCCCCCAATTATCATGATATCATTTGTGAAAAATGAGACCTGGAATACTCTCACTCCTCACTGTTTCATTAACACTCCTTCCCCCTGAAGATCATTATAGCCGTAAATAATACAGTCATTTAGATGGATCCCTGGCCTTAGGAAAAGGTGGTTAGAGAGCCACCCTGATTTCTAAAGATTCCTTTGTCTATAAAGGGAAACTGTTTATGAGGTTTTGATTTGTTAAATGTAATGGCACGTTGAGCAGCTGTTGTACAGGTTTCTCTGATACATCCCGCTTTTACTTTTCCTTCAGAAGGAAAAGTGAATCCAGGTTGTCTACTGTTATCTATGGTTACATCAATTGGATTTGGTCACCGTATACCTGAAAGGGCTTAGCTAACCCTCCAATCTGAGATTTATAGCAGTGGAGAGAAGAAATGGCAGGCCCTCCTTTCTGTAATGAGCTGTCACTTTTTCATATATTGCGTGTGCAAGTAAAAAACCGCATAGCTCAGATGTCACCACTCTGCCAAAATACACAGCCCTTCCAGATCTGAAGAAACTCTCTGGATTGTATTGCTGTCTTGCGCCCGGCTTGTCATGTCTTGCACTTGTGGTAGCGGGAATGAACATTATGTTGAATGGATGCAGTTATTTTAGGATACAAGTCAAAAGCATTTAGTGTGAAAAACGGCTCGACTGAAGCTTTTGGCAACGCCTGAGGTTTATTTGGAGTCAGGAGATTTCACAGCAGGTGCCAACAGTGTGAAACCACATTCCACCTCTGTCTGATTCCCTGCTCCTCTCTTGTATGTCTTCACTCCTCGACACCCGGTTCCCCTCATTTTCCCATCAAAGCAAGTCTTATCATTCAGCCAGCTCAATGCATGTTGAATGTCACTCTGCTTATGTTGATACATGAATGAAACGGTCTGAACACAGAACACCAGAGGGGAAGTTTTGTATAGCAATTGACCCTTTGCAAAGACCTGCCCCACTTCGTTACCGTTGCTATGTCCGACAAGCCATGCGCTCTCACACCACATCATATTGTCATTTTTTAAAGAAATTCAAACAATAAATGCCATTTTGTGACTCTTTAATGTGTCGTGACAGCCTGTAGCGCCTCAGTTCAAGCGGCACATGAACTGATCATCTTTTCATATTAAAACATGAAATAAACGTGAATGAACATGAGAAGGTATTTTATTTCAACAGCAGAAAGACATCAATAATTCAGAAGTTAATTCAGGCCCTGTCCCAAATCACAAGACCGCAAGTGCACATGAAGTGTGCCATTTGGGACAGGGCCCTACTCCCCTGTCTGATTTGTTTGTCGGACAAAATGCAGATTCAACGTAATGATTGGTCAGATTGCCTGTCAATCAAGCTCCCTGCAGTTGGGCTTTGTTTTGCAGACCTGGCAACCCTGCATGGTAAAGAAACAGAAGTCATTCATCTTATTAAAAGTCAGTTTATCAGAATGAATTTGAAAACTGATATTTCAAGATAAAAACATACATGTAGTTGCTTTCAAACTCTGCACTATTTGTAGGCCAGGTCACTAATCAAATTTTCACAGGCTGTCTTACACTTTTGTGACTTATTTAACCATGCATCGAGAATAAAGTGTTTTGCATTTTGCTCAAACATATATTGTTTTCCTAAAGGAAGGAATAAAACCGCTTACTCTAAATCTTTAAGTTCCATAAACAAAGTGCATTTATTCCTGCTCGATGTGTTAAAACACATAGTCAAGAGTTTCAGTAATTGAAGGCTTACATTTGCTGTTTGTTAACCTGACAGCAGAAATGATTGCACAGTTGTTTATATCTTAACATGTTGATAGACAGATAAAGAAAAGGGTTTTGCCCCTGGCTGACAGATCCTATCTGCAGATGTTAATACTGTGTTGCGCACCACCATCTATTAGAGTACGAGCTGGAAAGTTTTGTGGTGTTGGAAGTACAACACAATGTGTGTTTGAGGGAGAGTGCCAGTTAACTGAGCCAAAGTGGGCTTATCTGTTGTAAGAGTACACATGCTGCTCTCTAGTGTTGACAATTTAGTATTACAACTTTATATAGGCACGTTTTCAATACCATACAAATGTATTCATATTTATTCATTGCTAATGTCAAATGTATGTGCAACATTTATACATTTACATGTAATTATTTACCAAACTACCTTACAAATAAGGAAAAGCATAAAAAATGCATCATACAGTTTAATTAAATGCATATAGCCCTTTTTATATTATTCCAAAGCAGTGCTGAAATACCATTGAGGATAATTTAAAAATAAATCAAATCATTTTCTGCAGTAAAGAAGTGCAAAAGTAAATGCACACTATATGTTTATACTATTTTTTAATTTAATTTAATCTAATTCTAAATTAATTTATTAAATTCATTTAATAATAAATTAATGAATGTTTTACTAAATGTTTCATGGTCTTTAATAATGTGGCATCAGTGTTATTTTAGTATCCCTGAGATACTATTTTATTTTTATTAATATTTTGAATCAGTTTTTACTTTCATATTTTTCGTTTTTATTTAAATTTTAAATTTTAAAGTTTTAGTAATTTTATGTGTTTTTGTCATTTTTATTTTAGTTTTATATATATGCTGTGTAGTTTTTTTATTTATTTTATTTCATTTTTTTGTTTTGTTTTGTTATTTTAGTACAAGTTAAACTAAATTAAAATGAGAAATGTTGCCTTGACAACTAGCTGGAATAGAAAGTTTTTTTATTTCAAGTAATGAAAATTAGTTTTTATGGTCTTCATTTCAGTTTTAGTTTTAACCGTAGTAAAAGTTATGCGTTTTAAAATGAAAACGCACTAGTGTAAACAGGGCCTTAGTTAACAATAATAACCCTCAGTGGAATTACCATTTGGGAATCATTCTGTATATTATTATGCTTTATATGACCTTCACACTGATTTGATTTTTTTGTTTAATTTAGTATTTTATGCATGTATTTATTTATATATTTTAAATCAACTTATGAATATGTTTTACTAAATGTTTTATTATCTTTAGTAATGAAGAAGAAGAGTTTGGGGATAATTTTGTATGTTACTAATCTTTAAATTACCTTTACACTGATTTGTGGTTAGAATTACACTTTCAAAATTGCTCCAATAACGAAAGTGTTTTCAACCAAACAGTGATCTCTCCTCTTTAACGTGTTCTAGATCAAGAATCAGGTGGCGCTTTAGTGGTCACAGCCGTGCATCCGTTCACCGGCCAGCAGCCTGGAGATCTGAGCTTTGTTCCAGGAGATCACATCACTGTTATCACCAAAACCGACTCACAGTACGACTGGTGGGAAGGAGAACTAAGAGGGCAGGTTTGGCTCTTCCCAGCTAATTCTGTGTCCTATAGCTGAAGGTACTAAAAAAAAAACAAGAAAAATCTCAAATTGATGACAAATGATGTCTGGCATTGAAGGGTCCTTTTCTTTTGCACAGTTTGAAATGACATTGTATAATGAAGGAGTATATGTTTAGGAGCACTTGGGGTCAGTATTCCCCTTAGGGGGTGTATTAAGGGGTGTGTTTTTCAGTGTTCCTGGCATTGGTGAAATATTTTCTTTATTTCATTTTGGCCGTTCAGTTACTAGTATGTGGGTTGACTACTAAAGGGTTTCCGTTTTATATTTTTAGTTATGCTATAGTTTAGAAACACACTGGAATACAATTATGCTTTATATGCATACACAGAAACCAAAAAAGTGACATTGTGGTATTTTAAAGGGGTCATAGGATGCAAATTTCACTTTTACATGTTGTTTGAACATGATTTCTTAGTGTGAAAAACATTTCAATAATCTAAAGAACTTAATCTAAAGAATGCTTAGAATGCATTTTAATAGAGGGTGCATCATACATCTGAGTTAAAGGTTTTTGCATGGTATATACACAAGCTGTTAAAACAGTGAATTAACCTGCTGTCTATTTCATTAAGAATTACACAAGACTTTGCCCCCAAGTGTTTGTGAAGGTAAAAATTTTACTCTGGAAATCCAAGAACATAGCAAATCCATTTCTCAAACTTTTAAAAAAACCTTATACATTCAAAGCATAAAATATTTTTTAAAATGTGCGTGTTTTTGAACTAAAGAACTCCTATATAAAAATATCTACAATAGCAGCACTGAATGATTCCAATATAAAATGAAATCTTGTTAGATGTTCCAGTATCATAATCATCCAGAAATAAAATTCATTACAAATACATCCAAAACCCCATTACATAGTATTACTCCTTGAAATATATTTTTGAAATGTTGACATCCCAAGCACAGGCCTTCACTTGTACTTGATTTTCATAGAAAAGACATGAAAACAAATAAAAACATAATATGAAAAAGTCAGTTTTTGCTATGTTCCTCTTGTTGATTATGCTGAGAGGGGACTGCATTCCATTTGGTTCTTCATGTCATTCTCCTTGGTAAAAGAAGCCTCCGACTCCTGTTTAGGCTTCACAGGCCAACTGATATGAAAACAAAAACAATTTTTTTTTAATTAGTCCAGAATACCTCCAATTATACATACACATTTTAAAATATTGATATTTGAATGTAGCTAACCAGCTTTTTTATCTTTAAACATTTAGGTATCACTTGGTTATATATATATATAATGATATAGATGGCATGCTGATGAAAAAAATGCTGTCATGGCATGACGTTTACTTATAAGCTTTACATCTGATGCCGTGCCGCACACTAGTTTACAACACAAGTCTGACATATTGTCCTATTGACCGCCCTGGAATTCAAAATTCCATACATGTTCATATTTGTTTTGCCTGATCAGCAGCTCATGAAACAGAAGCTGTTCAGCTATCAGAACTTCAGAGCCATAGCATATACTTGGCTCTTTACTGGCTTTCAATATGGCTGGTTGAATTTAATTTCAATATATATTTAAATAATATATGTAATTGTGTATTATAAGATATTAAATCCATTTTTACAAATATTTTTTATCTCACCATGCACAGCATGAGAGCTTAATTCTGAGCTGTTTCTCACAGTCTTGTACTGTGTCTGGTAAAGGGATGCCACTGGTCTCTGGAAGAAGCAGGCACAGGGCTGCACCAATGATCGGCCCACTGCTGTAACAGATCATAGCTGGCAGACGGATCCCGCTGTCAGGGGTCACCACCACATTTATAATACAGGCCACTCGGTAACAAAGACTAACCAGGCCGACACACTTCTGCCTGCATAGTGTAAAATGTTTTGTTAGTGAGAAAGAGATGCACATTTCATGAACAACAAGGTTCTTGATAGAAAATATTTACTATATTAGAAAAATATTTACATTTTTAAATAAAAAAATTTAATACAACATCTACAACTTTTACTACACATTACTAGACAATAACTACACATTCTGAGTTCTGACTGAAATCTATCTTAGACTATGATCTGTCTTGTGATAAATGGGATTAGCTCAACTATGCTCAGATTTAGAGAAATCTATATGTGATAATCAGTATCATATTAATACATTTTTCTACCAACTCAGTTTCAGTGTTGGTGTAAAAATGTGTGCAGCAACTACTTATCTGTACATCCAGATGAATTTGATCTCTTATTGTCTATTACTGTGCTGTTAGCTTACTTAGTACTGCCACACTGCACACGATGTTATGTAAAAAAAAGTGTTTTATAACCTCTACAATGATTCAGCATATTTACGGTCTACCTGCACGACAATCCAACAATCCAATATCTCTCTAACAATTTCTAGCAGGAAATGCCACAGAGGTTACATGTAACATATCTCAATCTCTTTTGATTTGTGATCAGAAAAAAATACTCTTACAGGCCAGCACATGCTCATATATTTATTTTAAAATATTTTTTGAAAAGTTAGCTGTGATGTAGATACTTTTCAAATGCTAAAATTACTCCAAATTACATTTAATTTCACACAAACAAAGATGCTTTACAGTTGTCTTAGTTATCTGACTAAGTATATGCTTTAACAGGTAGGTCTGTTTGGATATTGTACCTTATTACAGTTGGGAACAGCTCAATCCCATAGAGCACAGAGACACAGTAGGTGGACTGCATACACAGCTTGCCCATCAGTGCCAGAGTCATAACAAGGGCAGGCAAGTCTGTTCAGAAAGAGAGATGATTGCAAATCATCAGTTTTAAGAGTGATATTCTTCGAATAAACATAATAAGCACCAAGCAATATCAGACCATGATCAGTCTGTGCTTATGTATTGTATTTCAATGACTGCGTCTCTCACCGCAGAACTTGGAAACGAGGAGGGACAGCATACAGGAAATGCCACTGAGGAACAGCGAGCCCATGCTGAACGGCCTACGGCCCCATCGCTTCAATAGAAATGGAAGCAGCAAAGAGGGAGCCTCTGATAGTCCAGAGAAAAACTGCGCCAGATAGATATTTACACCGAAACTTCCCACACTGAAGCAGATCCCATAATAAGTGAGAGCAGACGCAAAACTGTAAAAGAAAAAACACATTAAAGCAATCGTTCACATAGGTTAATACAAGCAGCAAACTGTTTGGATAAAAAACAAAAACATTTATTCAGATATTGCTAATAGTTGCAGAGGAAAGAAGTGTTGAACTTGAGATGACAAACTCGCCAGTGGGGTTTTTTATGTAACAGCCCCTCAAAGTTACATCATTCAGTCAAGCTATTTACTTTGAGCTTTAAAAAACTCAAGAAAAACACCTCCCTGTGTCAGGAGTGCTTACAGGTAAGTTAGTGTCACATACTTAAAAACCCTCTAAATCTGCAAAAACACCTGTGCTGTGTCGCAATACAGCACATACATTCAAAAGTACCTTCAAAAAGTGAGAATAAAATATTTTACGAATAAACCATCACAGAAATTATATTACCACAGTTAAACTTCCCTACCCAATGTAACTCATGACAAACAGATGCAGGAGTATATTAGGTGACGTAAAGTTGGCGAAATTAGACTCTGTTTTAGTGGAGGTCTTCTCTGAGAGTGGCTTCTGCATCTCATTGTCCACAGAATCCAAAAGCTGCCAAAAAAAGTAATGTACAATTTATGTTAGCACAATTCTGCACACTGAAATGGCATGTCTCTCCACTCTCCACAAACATTTGAGCAATTTTAGAGTATGACGTTGTGTCTTACAAGACCCAAGTAGTGCTTGTTCTCAGGACTTCTATTCTGATAGCCCTCAAGCGTTTTCATCCTCTTATTTAGAAGCAGCCATCTAGGAGATTCTGGAAGAAAGCTAATAATTGCAAGAAAGAATGAATAAACAAAAACAAACACTTTTCTTTAAATAATTCAACACTTTAACCATGCACTGAAAATTTGTGTTTGTTCTACTAACAAATAAAGAGGTAGGAAAAGGATCTGAGGGATGCCCAGTGCCAGATGAAACTGCATCCAACCACTGGCCAAGACAGCTACAGCTGCCAATCCCATCATTCCCAGACTGAAGATGAAGGAAAACAGGGTGGGTGGCCAGATACGATACTTGGGCAGGCTCCAACTCCTGAGAAATCAGAAGCACTATTAATTTATTAAGCATTATAAATTAACTTAATTGTGTTAGGCCTATATTCTAAAATGAATGAAATTTTTTTTACATATCTCTCTCTCTCTATATATACACAGTATGTGTGTATGTGTGTGTGTGTATAATTTTTAGTTTATATAATATATGTTGCATTCAAAAAACGTTTGAAAACACTTTAGGCAAAGTGTTTAGTGCTCCAGTGAAGCTCTAGTGAAGTAGTTCTGCAGGAGCAAGACTGACCACCGTTGCTTAGTTTATTTTAAAAGGTAATAGAAAAAACTGCCTTACCACTAAAATAGTTTATATTTTGTCCAACAGTGTTAATACAGAATAAGAAGACACGCATAAGCGTAGCTGTAGCCTACCTAAACTGTAGGTGCAGATGTGAATGGCACAGCAGGCTACTCCACTGATGCCGCGGGCAGTCAAGTAAACGGGCACATACGGCAGAAATGCCACTACAAGAGTAGCAACTGCGAGGACCGCTGAGCAGCAGATTAGAAGTAATTTCTTTCCATACCTGATTAGAGGGAGAAAATACCATTTTTCATAATTAACTTGTACGTAGTAACGTCTGATGTCGAAAACAGAATGGGGCAAATACCAACTTGTCAGAAACAGCGCCACCGATTAAAGAGCCGAGAAGTAAGCCGGTCGTATACGTCGCTTGCCCATGTGCAAAACGATTCGCCTCGTGACACGTGAGACTCTGCTGCAAAACAGATACAGTGTGTAACTCACTGAATACATGTGCTGGGCTCTAAATAGGCTATATGTTGTGCAATCTTTATTACTCACACGTGTGAGGTCGCTGTGAGTGCCCGTCCAACTTGTTGAGATGTTGAAAATATTAGTGTCCACTGTTTGGTTCAGAGACTTGCTCGCTATATTATCACTACAAGGCGTAATGTGTAACGTAAAGACATCCACGAAAAATGTAAAGGCTGTGAAAAAGATTGGTAAAGTAAGGATAATATAGACATGTCTTTGTAGTGGACCAACAAACCGACGAAATGCGTTGTCCGTCTTCGTTTCGCCCAGTAGCCCCTCACTGTCACTGCAGAACAAAGATCCAGGGGGGCGGGGTTGGATCCACATCTAGGGGGTGGAGATGGGTGGGTTTAGGGATCAGGGGGTGGAGACGGGTAGGTTTAGGAATATGTAAGGTGGGAGGAGTTGGATCTGGATCCAACCTCGCCCCCTGGATCTTGTGTTCTGCAGTGAGGACCATCTCATTTCTCCTGCTATTAAGTTGAATCTAAGTAAACTTAAGGTAAGCACGAGCACTGATCTTTCAATGAGGTTTAATGTCAGTATTTGTAACGTGTTACTGCCATCACGACTGGGACATCTGAAGACGTCTTCTCTCCACCCTCAGTAAGTTTTATGTAAGCATAGTTGTTGGTTCGGACTCCTGGAGTCAGACAGCATGGCGCGAATGGGTCACACTTCGTCTACTGTTTATCAGGGAGAGAATTTAAGGCTGCACGTTTCAAAAGGATTCTGTAACCATAGATAGATACGATAAGATACATAGATAAATAAATGGTGTTTTGTTTAAAAAAAAAAAGTCACTGCATCATGCAAAAGAAATAAAATAAAAGTACATTATATTACATTGTATATTACATTACATTGTATTTTTCTGATTTCCTTAGGTTGTGTGTACTTCATATGTGTAAATTATTATTAGAATTCAGAGAAATTCATTGCATTACAGGAACTATAATGATTCTACAGATGAATCTTTTACAGATCAAAAGTAAACCACTAATCCAGCATATAGTTAGGCTACAGTAGCAACTCATTCCTTACCTGCTTGTGAGTGGGTATATAAATAAATGTTTTAAATAGATTAACTTTGTATAGATTTTTACAAAATAGCTACATTAGGCTATACTATCAGATTTCCATGGCAAACTCAATTTTCTTTGTATTTAATTGTTGTATTAGCTAAAATCACAAGAAATGCTTGAAACATAATGTGTAGGCTATCACATAAAAATTTATTTGTCACGTTTAACAATTCAACAATTCAGCACAGTCCTTAAATAAATAGATAAATAAATAAATAAACAAACAAACAGAAAGCAGTTTCTGTTTCATCAAGCAGTCCTATTTCTTCAAGAATTAGATACTCTGTAGCCTACATTGCTTTCATAAACGACTCTTTACTGACACCAAGTGGTAAGTCTAAAACAATTCAATTCTCAATACAATTAGAAAGATAACAAATAAATAGAAAAAGAAAAGAGAAATTTTGTTCTAAATCTCCTTTTCAGTAACACGATAAGGTTCTGTATTATCTATATTACATAGGCTATATTAGATGAAGAACTCCGTCCTTACATCACATTTACTGATGATTTACTAATGAGACTCCGTTCATCAGCGACCGTTACTGACAGTAACTGACACACAATTCCCGCCAACTGCGCTGCAACGAGCCCGCGTGAGCTGCGCCTCTGCATCATCAGCGAGTTCCAGCTGAAGCGGGGACGGAGCTGCACGCGGACTGTTTGGCTCATCCGGTGGATATTAACGGATGGAAGATGAGTGGCCCTTCTGCTGGCATCCGCCGTCGGTTCCCTAACCCGAAGGACTTGGGTTAAAGCTGTCTTCAGTCCTGCGACAGTTTTTGTGTAGGGGAACAGCCTTGTGAGAATTTCCATTTATGTTTGCTGGGGGTTTGTCCTAGGGTCAAATTATATTAGAAAAATAGTTAACAAGAACAAAACAACAGAAAAAAAAAGTTAATATGTGTAGCCTAAAAGCTTAAAAAGACGGCTCAGGTTGCCTAAATACCGTCTAGTATGACTAAAAGCTAATACTTTTTTTCTTTTATTCAGACTGTGATCTAGCATAGATGTGATTAACCAATGTACAGTGCCGCCCACTAATATTGGCACCCTTGGTAAATATGAGCAAAGGGGGCCAGTTATTAAACTTAATTCACATAAAATTCACAAGATTCTAAACTTTCATCAAAGTAAAACAATTGAAAGTGGGGGGAAACTCACATAATGTTTTTCTCCAATGCATGTTGGCTACCATTATTGGCACCCCTAGAAATTCTTCTGAGTATATTCCTATTCATATTTACATTATTTAGCACACCAGGGTGATTATGAACATGAAATTGTCCAGCCATGACTTCCTGTTCCACAGAATTATAAATATGAGGAACACAAAGGCCAAATTCCCTTAATCATCTATCACAAGGAGTAAAACCAAATAATATAGTTCTGATGTGTAAACAAGATTGTTGAGCTTCACAAAATAGAAAGTGGCTGTAAGAAAATGGCTAAAGCATTGAAATTCCCCATTTCCGCTATCAGGGCATTATGAAGAAGTTCCAATCAACTAAAGATGTTACAAATCTGCCTGGAAGAGGACGTGTGTCTATTATATCGTCTATGCACGCTGAGGAGGAGAGTTTGAGTGGCCAAAGACTCTCCAAGGATCACAGCTGGAAAATTGCAGAGATTAGGTGAATCTTGGGGTCAGAAAGCCTAAAAAAAAAAAAAATTCAAACAGCCCCTTCATCACCACATGTTGTTCAAATGGGTTTCAAGAAAAAAACTCCTTGCTCATCCAATATTTCTCTGCGCGCCTCCCTGACATGCACTCACGCCCCAGACCGACTCCGCCTGCATTCACGTGATTTGTCGAGATGAGAGGCGGGCGTGGGCGCAGTCATCAATCAAATTTAAAGAGACGCTGGCGCATCCTCCTGACCCACTTCCGTGTTGGCTTCACGAGACTCTAGCGGCCAGTTGACGAATTACAGTTTGTCACTTCCGTGTTGGCTTCACGAGACTCTAGCGGCCAGTTGACGAATTACAGTTTGTCACTTCCGTGTTGGCTTCACGAGACTCTAGCGGCCAGTTGACGAATTACAGTTTGTCACTTCCGTGTTGGCTTCACGAGACTCTAGCGGCCAGTTGACGAATTACAGTTTGTCACTTCCGTGTTGGCTTCACGAGACTCTAGCGGCCAGTTGACGAATTACAGTTTGTCACTTCCGTGTTGGCTTCACGAGACTCTAGCGGCCAGTTGACGAATTACAGTTTGTCACTTCCGTGTTGGCTTCACGAGACTCTAGCGGCCAGTTGACGAATTACAGTTTGTCACTTCCGTGTTGGCTTCACGAGACTCTAGCGGCCAGTTGACGAATTACAGTTTGTCACTTCCGTGTTGGCTTCACGAGACTCTAGCGGCCAGTTGACGAATTACAGTTTGTCACTTCCGTGTTGGCTTCACGAGACTCTAGCGGCCAGTTGACGAATTACAGTTTGTCACTTCCGTGTTGGCTTCACGAGACTCTAGCGGCCAGTTGACGAATTACAGTTTGTCACTTCCGTGTTGGCTTCACGAGACTCTAGCGGCCAGTTGACGAATTACAGTTTGTCACTTCCGTGTTGGCTTCACGAGACTCTAGCGGCCAGTTGACGAATTACAGTTTGTCACTTCCGTGTTGGCTTCACGAGACTCTAGCGGCCAGTTGACGAATTACAGTTTGTCACTTCCGTGTTGGCTTCACGAGAGAGAGAGCAGGAGGTTGCCGCTTGGTGCAAACTGATAAAAAGTACCACAAGTCTGCCGGAGGTCCGGACATCTTGTTCAGATACATTACATCATGGATTCTATCAAATACCAACAGATAAAAAAATCGAAACCTGACTGCTTCTCTAGTGAAGTGACATATGGCCAAGTATGGTGACCCATACTTGGAATTAGTGCTCTGCATTTAACCCATCCAAAGTGCACACACACCGTGAACACACACCCGGAGCAGTGGGCAGCCATTTATGCTGCGGCACCCGGGGAGCAGTTGGGGGTTTGGTGCCTTACTCAAGGGCACCTCAGTCATGGTATTGAAGGTGGGAGAGAGTGCTGTACATTCACTCCCCCCACCCACAATCCCTGCCGGTACGAGACTCGAACCCACAATCTTTGGGTTATGAGTCCGACTCTCTAACCATTAGGCCACGACTTCCCCCCCCCATTTCTGTTAGAAATCTTATAATGGACCATGGTTGGATCTTCCATCAGGACATTGATCCAAAACAAACATCAAAATCAACACAAAAATGTGTCACTGAGCACATAATTAAGCTTCTGCCATGGCTGTCTCAGTTCCCTGACCTGAACCCTGTAGAAAATGAGTGGGGTGAACTGAAGAGAAGAAGCACCAACATGGAGCTGGTATTCTCCATGTTGGTGCTGGTTCTGGAGAGATTCTGGATGAAGGAATGGTCTCTGATCTCTTGTCAGGTGTTCTCCAAACTCATCAGGCATTATAGGAGAAAATTCAGAGCTGTAATCTTGGGAAAAGGACGTTGCAATAACTGGGTGCCAATAACCGTGGGAAACATGAACTAGAGAAAATTACATTATAAAGAGAAAATTAAATTATTTCATAATGTGAGTTTCCCCCCACTTTCCATTGTTTTACTTCAATGAAAGGTTAGAATTTTATAAATTTATTGAATGAAAGATCAAAAGGATAAACAATGCAGATTTATTTTCACAGCCTTTGCTCATATTTACCAAGGGTGCCAATATTAGTGGGCGGCACTGTATGTTATGTCGCATTTCGAGAAATTGGGTCCCTTAAAGAGATGTTTTTAACTTAAAATACAATTAAACTTAAAACCTGTCAGTAGCGTACGTTTTTAAAGAAGACAATTTAAAAAATGTACATTTGAGCTAGGCCTTTATAGCGTACAGACTACAGACTGATGAGAACAAGATTTAAATCCTCCCATGTAAGCCTGAACCAAATGCTAACTATAAAAACATTATGTATGAATGTAAAATGAGAATATTTTGCAGAAGTCTTTTCAGTTTGGCTCGAAAAAGGTTATGAATGTAAGTATTTAAGATGTTTTATAATATTATATAAAACATTTTTTTTTTAATAAACATTTAAAAAGTTTCACAGAAATGTTTTGGTTTGGGCTAGTGGGTTACTTTTATCTCAAAGACTGTGCCTTATCAAATGCCCAAAGGCATCATTACCTATTAGATTAAGAAATCCTACCTGAAATAATTAACTTTAGAAAAAAGTAACATTTGATAATTGCACTATTGAATTTAGCTGTTTTAAAGCTACCTCAAATACTCTTTGTCAAGTTAAAGTTAGTACAGTACAATAACTTACCTGTTAGTATAGGGTCTTGTCAGGCTGAAAACTCAGGTGTGCAAATATGCACAGTATGTATAGCAATACAATTGTGTTTTAGCAATGTTAAATCTCCCTTGTTACTAATAAGAGAAACGTCTGCTAAAATGTATTAAACACCCCTGATTCAGTTGCTCCACATCCATCAACATCAGTGATCGCTCTGTCTAAGGTTGTTTCATGTATAGGCAGATTTAATTGCGTAAGAGATCACATGTCTGCGGCTTATTTGCATCACTGGCCAACAGCCCACATGTACTGACGTTTTGAGATGTGCTGAAATGCAGTTTAATGTGCTAAAGTGCAATTACCCAAATAAATATATTAAATCATTTAATTGGTAATCCATATTAAAAACTCGCTTATTGATACTCTGACCATTCATAGAATTTTCACAGGTTTTATATAGTTATACAGTAGTTTCACGATTAAAAACATAATCACAGTAAATATTGACATCATTGCAGCAGTGTACATTTTTGTGCTGGAGCAGAATGCAGACTGTCCTATATTTGGCCAGTGAAGAACTTGGTCTTGTCTGTGCTCTGTAAATCTCAGCAAGGATAATGGCAATCAGATGTGATTACCTATATGACGTCAATGGAGTGTGTGTCATCCTACTGTGTCACTGCTGTAATATAAAACTCTGATAAAGTAGATCAGAAATAATATGCATATATTTCACAGAAAACAAGTGATTGTTTATGATTAATGCTATATTTTATTTCTTTCACAGAAACACTTGCATCTCACAAGGCCTTTTACCATTTCTCTACGACCATTCTGCTGGTGTTCAGTACTATGGGAAGAGGAACATTCAGGTGCACGTAGTACTAGTAAATTGACTAAATAGTACCTCCCTTTTGAAATAAGAAATATAACAATTTACAAATTGACATATTGGGCAAATGTGTGACAGACAAAGGCAAGGAATTTCTCAGCTTTTGAAGAATAAAGAGACCTAAACTGACACTTTCAGTTTCTATAAATGAAACAGAATGTTTTGTAAAGACTGGATTATTTACACTGTTAAAGTATAGCGAACTATTATTATTGTCTAAATGTAAACAGATACAATTCTATTTAGTTAGTTTGAATTGGCTTGCATTAACTGAATAACTTTCTGTTTAGATAGAGTCCCATCTCTGAAGATTGTTGGACACAACTGAAAAGAAATGAATGTAAAGGTGCGTAAAATATTCATATTTTAAATCAGTCTCTAAACACTTCTTAAAACTCAATTTCATCTCCACACTCATTCTTTAGCAACTTCACTGTAACAGTCATGTGCCACCCTTCAAACTTATCATGCTTGATAATGCCAATACTTCATTAACACCACCTCTTCCATGAATGTGATCTGGATGTGGGTTCTGTGAATTCAGAGTTTAAGTGCTCACTTTGGTCGGGTGCTTCCATTGTCACAGAGGCAGAAACACATCAGCATGGACCATTCGAAACAAAATCCCTCAATGACATTCTGCTTCCATTCATTCATCCCTCAATTTACCACCAAGAAGGAAACATACATTTCCTTATTAACCTGCATACAGCAAGCTAAGAACATTCGATTCAACACAACCAGTAACCCTCTGTTATTTTCGCATTTTTTTAGAACACTAATGTTTTATGAAAGATAAAACTTTCACTCACGTAAAAGAGCAAAGCTACAGTTTACAGTACTTCCCCCATTCCCTCGTCTCCCTTATTCCTTGGGGACTTCCATTGGCCAGCACAAGCATGGCCTTCCAGCCAGAGTTTAGACCTCTGCGGTCTTCATATTGAATGGACAGCTATCTTTTACAAGCCGTTAGGGTTGAGTTGACAGCCCTAATTGCTGCCTTGAGCGCAGACTGTGCTGCTGGAGGATATGGGCAGGGCAAAATGACTCTCAGTGCTAACGCAGCAGTCTGTAGACTCGGCCATCTCTCCTTCTTTTTCGCATATGGCAGTCATTGGCCCACTGGGAATGCGGCTACGGCTGTTGTACCGGCTGCTGGCTGCAGAAGGTGGTGTGCGTGAACGCCCATATTTTAGGGTTGTTAGTCCAGCGGTAAGACGGGGCAAGGCTCCCTCTGTACGTGCCCACTCTTCATGTGCTCTCCTGCTGCTTGTTGGAGAGGTGCACAGTCCGTCAGATTGTGCATGCTCTGAATTAGCCCTCTGAAAACGGGGGTCTGTGCATTTGAGAATCTCAGTGGCTGACATGCGGAAGCCGGACTCTGAGCGGCTGCCCTTCTTGAGAAGCAGAGCTTTAAAACTGTCATTGCTCGTGGATGAGCGCCGCAGGTTGCGCTGAATGGAGCCGGTCTGACGTGGCAATGAAGTTAGGCTGGGGCAAGAGCCTGTTGGAGTGACAGGTGGGGAAGGGAGGAAGTTACGGCAGCATTCCTCTTCAGAGTCGCCACGGCCCAGGACCTTCCTCTTTGACCTGTGGATTAACAGACAGCAGGATTTGTTTTCAGGTAAGCCTTTGGCAGGGTTACTGCATGTCTTGCTGTTGATGTTGTTGATACCATGAGTGTAAAATTTCCATGTGTAGCTTTTTTAAAAATCTATAAATAAGTGAAAGTGCGACTGTCATTTGTTTTAGGACTGTAAACAGATGCCACTGTCTACTTAGATAAAAATGTTGGAAAAGATCATTTAGAAGGGATTCAACATTATTAAATTTTAGGTTTGGAGATTATCAGTTTTGAAGGTTACCTGATAACAGATAACTAGATAGTGCTACTTTTAGTACTTTATTGCTTGTATTATCTTGTAGGAGTTATGGTAAATCATTTTTGTATTCTGCTATACCCTTAGAAAATAACTTTGCATTTAAATAATTCCTCATCTACCACCATGCTTCTTGTTTATTAGACAAAAACAAAGTTATTTTTGATGATCTGGTCATTAATCACATTCAAATGAATTGGCACAACAAAATGAGTGAGGATTAAATATTCTGACCTTTCATGAATAAATTGTCAGGTGTTTTTACAGGTCAATATAAATGTAATACAATACTTTTCATGCAAATGTATAAAACTTTGATTCATGTTGAGTAGTGCAAGAGAAACTAAATTATCCATTTACAAGTAAATTATCCATTGTGATGGTACATATTACGATCTAGTAAAACTTTTAACCTACATTAGCTTTTTAAGCACAGCCTACAGCAGTTTTATGCTTATATTTATCCAAATATCATTTTTACTTCTATGCATAATGCAGGCTCTACTGGCTAAATAAAAGAAAACATCACATTACCTATGAATGGCAGCAAAGAGGTCCTCTGTAGTACGGAGACGAACAGGCGTCACCATCGGCCCCACAGCCTCTCCGTTAGCGTTAATGCTAGATGCGCTTTCAGTGCTCGAGTCAAACACGGCACCTACAACCCACACACAAACACTCAGCTTACTGTACCTCTCAAAGTGAGAAGAAACAATGGGGACTGAACCTACACTGACTGAAAATCAGAAAGGCATAAAACCCATGCTGCAACAGACATTTTCTGCTCCTTAAATTATTCACACTCCTTTGGTAGTCCTGCTGTTGTGCAATAACTGCACTTTAGTGAGCACTGCAGAGGCTTGAGACTATTATAGTCTAAACCCGCTAACCATCACACACTCAAGGGCTCTCATTAAACTTTCTTAGCTGATTCAAGGGTAACTAGTTATGTAACGGATAAAAAGAATCATAGAGTTGTAGTCATTCCTGTAGCACGTAAACCAGGACCTGTGTGGGTGGTAATGAAGAGCATCCACTCTGCTTCACTCACAAGGGGGATACATGGGAGGGTTGGAGGGGTGTTGATAGAACTACATTAAACCAATTTACTTTAACTTTTTGGAAGAAAGAAAGATGATAATGATCATTGAGGCTATGAAATACAGAACGTATAACCTAATAAACATAATATTATCTAGTAATTCATGCAACAAAAATGCAGCTTTGCAGATGGATACAACGCTGATAGTAAATTTAAATGCATGATCAAATGGCACAATAATTGGTTGACACACTAAAGTGATCCTCCATACACAGAAACTTTCTCTCTTTTAGGCAAGTAATAATAGAAGCCCTTACCATTTTCCTCGTGTTCGTCCTCTTTAAAGTTGATGGATCCCGAGCTGCTGCTTGAACCATCATCTGATGTACTTTTATCATCACAGAGCCCAAAGTCCTTATCATTCAGGCCGAGGTCATGCTCATGAAGAATGAGATCAGAGAGTTGCAGGTCTTGCAGACTGCTTGATGACAACTCACTGCTGAGAGACAGTCTGCTCTTCACCACAGGGGTTGAAGAGTCTGAGTCACTCTCTTCCTCAACCTCAAGGTCCAAAGGAATTGCTTGCAAATTAACTGCATTTGTCGAGGATGTGCCATTCAGTTGCCCTGACTCAAGTATTTCTTGTGCTTCATGAACCTGTTGAAGCTTGAGTCCATGAGAGACAGGTAGGTGCATAATGGGTGGTATAATAAGGGAAAGACTGGGTTTCTTAGGTGATATAGGAGGCTTCTGTTTCAGCTGAGAACTTTGAGAAGAAGCTGAGGAGTTTGTGCATTGCAGAAGCTCATGGGAAGATAAAACTGGAGATGTCTCAGAAAGTTGCACTAAAACATTCTGACCAGTATTGCTGACATGTTCATCTGTGCCAGGAGGTAAAGAGCCAGTTGATGCCTGAAGAAATCTGTTAACTAAATATTGATGTTCAGATGTAGCCATACCATTTTCTGACTGACTAACACAGATGGCAGTCCATGTCTGTTCTGTAGTTTCACTTTCCAAGGACGTTCCTGAGTTTGTTTCAGAATGGTTATGTGCTTGGTCATCAAAATCATCAAAACTGACTGCTGTAAAAATATCTTCTATTTGCTTGAGCTTGACAGGTCTTAGCTGCACCATCTGAAGAGCTTGGGCAGTGATTATTGGTCTCTGAGTCTTCTCTTGCTCTCCAGTGTGGTTGATGTTAAGTGCTTTTTCAATTTCCACAGCCTTCTTAAATGTCAGACAACTCTCTGTGTTCAAAATGGCTGCTGTTTGAAGACTCATCTCAAGTAATGGTGGAGGAGGTGGAGGAGGAGGAGGAGGAGGAGATAGAATGCACAGTGAAGGTTTGGGAGGAAGAAGTGAAGGAGGTGGAGGACCATTTGTACCTTCATTGCTTGACAGAGATTCAGAAACCTCTGGTGGGGGAGGGGGGAAATCAATAGTGTCACACTTTTCAGATGTTGTGGATGAATCTGAAAGTGAATTATGTCTCTCTTCCAAGTCAGAGGATAAGTCAGGTAGAAAAGGAAGAGGTGGGGTTGAGTCTACCATAGCTGCTGTTGGAGAGCAAGAAGCGGGGCTGGGTGATTCACATGATGTAATGGTCATGTCAGGTAGAGGTGGAGGTAGCGGTATGTTTCTGATGGAATCTGAGGTGTTAGAGGACAAGGATGTAGAGGAGGAAGACACAGAAGACCGCAGGGAGGACTTTCTTTCAGGCACTTTTGGTTTCAGCCTCCCTGCAGGAGATTTTGCTCTTATTAGAGAAGTAACTGGGGTGCCTGCAGTCGGAGTGTTGGACTGACTTGAATAACCACTTGATGGTGACGTCAGGCGATGAACCTTGTCAGGTGATGAGGCCAGTTTTGACTGAATCCCACTACTGTTGCAGTGGGACGATGGGAATCTGATGTTGTAGGGTGCATTGCCCATGATTACTTGATTCTCCTCAGTGCTAGCAGATCTTGTGAATTGGGAGGAGAGACCCTGGTCAGACCGTGGACCTTGGTAATCCATGTAGAAGTCCCAGGACTCTGCATAGTCTGAGCGCTGACTGCTGCTATCACTGTGTGTAGGTGTGACCGGACAAACAGCAGCTGCTGCAGACATTCCACTGCTTGCTGCACTTATGGTGCTCTGGCTTCTGGGTCGGAGTACCCAAGGGTCTTCAAACCCACTGCAGGGTGCCTGTTCAGAGCAAGTTTTTAGGTTAAGCTCTAAGGATTGCTGGAGACTGGAGATCAACTGCTCACTAAGGACCGAACCATTGTGGTGAGTCTTCCTCTGAGGTTTGCGCCTTAAGGAATCAGTTCTCGCTGGAGGGAGTGGGGGCTTCTTGGCTTTCCGCAGGGAAATGCTGCGAGTCAGGGAGCGGTTGCTGTGCAGACTTGCGCGATCCCCTTGACTGTGGTGGTCCTTGCACTCATACAAACTGTGCCTTGCATCTCCCGCTTTACTGATGGAGTCATGACAATGCGACTTCAAACCGGAGTCCATGCGCATGGAGGTGTAGTAGCCTTCATTGTCAACAGAGAACAATGAGCTTGAGTCCGTCTTGCTGGGAGAATGTTCCTCACTGTTGTATATATGGCTGACAGGTGAGGAGCAACTTGAGGTGACATTGTCCTTTGGAGAAACTTCATATGTCCACTGGTCAGTGGTTAGAGTGCTGCAGCTTTGATTGCTGCTCTCTGAGAAGTTGGAATCCCTGCGGACACAGTTACGACTGCCGCAGTTTCTGCCATCAAGTGTGCTGCACTGGGACTCAGTCTCTGTATGGATGCCTGTACAGAGGGAGGTTGTGGATTCGTAGCAGGAGGAGACAGCTGACAATGAGGCATCAGCAGTACTAAGCAACTGGGCTAAAGAATGAGGTGACTGCATCTGGTTATCCTCTGTTCTTTTGTGTCCGTAAAGAATGGAGTTCTGTAGTGCACCACTGAGACTGAACAAGCTTGGGCTATTATTTTGATCAGAGCCTTGGTAATTTGGATTTTCAGCAAGTTTGGGGCTGTTTAATGTACTGCTTCTGGAATCAGAGCGCATATGCAGTGACGATGAAGAACCATGCTGCATGTCAAACTGGTAGGACAAGGAGCTTGTAGAGCCAGAATTTATCCTGTAGGGGGAGCTGGTGTACTTTGGTTCACAGTGTTGATGCGAGATGTGAGAACCTTGGCGTGGCAAACTGTGAAAGCTCTGATCACTGTCATTAAGCTGAGTGTAACTAATACCATTACATTCACTCATGGTGGAAATGCTGCTTGAGGAGGAGATGCTGGCCATTTGGGCGGCAATTCCGTGGCCTCTCTGTGCTCTGATTCTGCGTACTGAGGGAGGAACAATCTTCACCTCTTCTGTTTGGCAACTGGAGTCACGGGTGTCTAAGCGTCTCAGGGTGGAGTTTACGCTTCCTGCTCGACTGAGGGTGGAGTACTGATCTGCCATACACATCGAGTGAATTCTGTCATCTTGTTCTTTATTTGCTGTAAGAAAATAAGGAATGGGAATTATACATAATATATATGGTGTATGTTTGCACATGATTGTCTTTCTTAATGATTATATTATATATATATATATATATATACAGTGTATATATATATATATATATATATAATACACACACACACACACACAAAGAAAAACAAGTAGATAGAATAGAAAAAATAGAACACACACCACACACAAAGAAAAACAAGTAGATAGAATAGAAAAAATAGAAAGCTAGTGTTTGTTTTTTTAATAAAAAAAAGAAGATAAATATAGATAAAGTAGAATAGAAAGTGCTAGAGTTAGAGGGTCAAATAAAGGTGGAACAGATTTTAGTTTTATGTTTTTAGTCGTTTCTTGACGACGGTTAAGGACTCAGCAGCTCGGATTGATTTGGGCAGGTCATTCCACCAGGAGGGAACAGTTAATGAAAAAGTCCGTGAAAGTGATTTTGTGCCTCTTTGAGATGGCACAATAATACGCCGTTCACTTGCAGAACGCAAGCTTCTAGAGGGCACATAACGCTGAAGTAATAAATTTAGGTACATGCATTTCCAATAGTGAAAATGTCCAACAATGGGTCATGCCAGCCCCTAGGAGGTGACACTCAACGTAAAATAAAACAGCTTTTATTAGATTACTGATATGACTGGACAGATTTTTGGTTTGGGGACATCATTTTTGTTAAATCAATATTCATTCCTTCATGTATAAAACTTCTAATTACTGCAAAAAAAAAAAAAAAGCGAGTGAGTGCACCTTTACGTTGTTTGAGAGTGGCGCAATGTACTGTATAGGATTGCAACAATGAATAGGAATCACACCTAGTTCAGTCTGGATGTTGTCAGGAACTCCTGTTATTGTCTTTCTTCTTTGCACCCTCTTGGGTCTTCGTATTATGGTATCAGTGTTTGCTGCAGAGCGACGGAAACTGGCCTGACGGTCAAAGTTCTCACCTAAAGATGTAACAACAGAGAAAACCAGTGTTTATTAATGGCATGCCTCATGCTGAGACACTACATTGCAGTTAGGGATGCACGCAATATCATCAAATAAAATGCAAGATATATCTACAAATAATACAGACAGATTTATTTTAATTCATCAGTCACACACACATATATATATATATATATATATATATATATATATACATATATACATGTGTGTGTGTGTGTGTGCCAGCATTGGCTCATTTTCCCTATTTTTAAATTTAGATTACCTTTGCCGTCATCTTATGCAGATCTCAAATGAATATCCATTTTACTTATTATAATGTGAAAAGGATTATTGGCCCGAGTTTTAATATTGGCCCATCCCTAATTGTAGCTGAAAAGAACTGAAATAATTATAGGAACCCACTTAAATTATTATTATCCCACTGTCCAAAATAACTGTTTACTGAAAAGATATGTGATTAACAACAGAATAGTTAAGGCCACTGCTCTAAAAACTTCAAGATTATTACAAGTGATATTTCATGATTTAACAACGGATGTACCTGTAATGTTGATGGGAATGATATCAGTGGCCACCGACTGGGCCTGTAGTTTCATCTTCTCCTCAGGAGTGGGCAAAGGCAAACAGCTGGTCCAGCTTCTCTGGATGTCCATGTCATGTTCCAGCAGAGGGGTCTGAGGCGGCATTGAGTACACAAGCTTCTCCTCTTCATTAGGCGACTCTGAAGCCTGAACACAACACAAACAGACTGATTTAATGAGGTCAGGCTTCGGTGAATGATAGCCTAGCCAATGCCCAGGGATAGGTATTGTCTGATATTTGGTCATTTCTATTGTTAATTCAGTTAAGTGCTTTCCAAAAAGAGCAAAGTAAAAAAGGCTCTTGAAGTGCATTTCCCTCCAGTAACGTCGTGTGACTGAAATATTTCTCTGAGCAATAAGCCCTGGGGAGCCCTGAATGGAGGAGAGCTACTCTCTAAATTATTCATGCTAATTTGAGATCAGTGTTACAGTCAGTGTATTCAACCATAATGTGTCTCGATACTCTTTTATTTAATTTTTTATTATTTTTTGGCAAAGAGACAACTTTGATTCTTTTGTCCTGCTTTGCATAACCAGTTCTCATAAATTTGCAAGACTGCTTGAGGGAAATACACAATCTAATTATGTATTAATGTCTAATTTGTGTAATCTACCATACTCAATGTCTCTAAGTCTTTGAGGTGAAAACACGCTCACGGCGGGTGACTTGCACTAGTAGGTTGTTTATAAAGATGCTATGAGGACTTGTTAGGATCTGAAGCCACCTTTCACAAAGCACAGCGCTACCACTGACTAGCAACTGCAGTGAGAGCGGTACCTTTCTTTTCCAAGATCTCAAATGACAGCAGAGAGAGAGGCAAGACTGTGATAGGCGGTCTAGTACTTTAAACCGCTTGGTGAGAGGAAAGAAACATTGAACATAAAAGAACAAAACAACATCAAGTGAAGTGAGACATTACCTTTATTTAAGATTACAGAATGTGGAATAAACATTTTCTAGTTCTACATATTGATTGTAGTGCTGGACTACACTGATAGCATGCAAACAGCCACTAGGGGGCAGTGCAAAACAAGTGACCCAAACCATGTCTTCATGTTGAGTATTTAGGAAAAAACTGGGCCTTTGTCTGTTTCGTGCACATATGAGCATACATTAGCTCTCATTATAATACAATATAACAGTTTATCAATTACTGGACTACATAACCAAAAGGATCACCAGGATTTTGGTGATAAAATGGTGAAATTGATTATAAATGGCATGACATATTGCATAGCCAAACAAAATAAAGTTGTTTTTCTAGCAGCAGCATGCATGTTAATGTAAAGGGAAGGACTGTGATTAAATTTGTGTTTAAGGTTAGGTTTACCTTCTTTTTCTTCTCTGTCTTCTCATCCAGGTGCACATTTTCACAAAGGCTGGTTGCAGAGAAGGCAGGGCTTTGGGAGTAGTACTGGGAACTGCGGAATCCATCTTTCCTGAGCTTGTCACACTCTGGAGAGGTAAACATAACCATCCAATCATTAACAATTTGTAGTGTTCATGAGTTTGTAAAGACTATTAAACAGATCACAGGCCCATAGCAATAATTTAAACATCAATTCATGCTACATTGTTGTGCACAGGCAGCTCAAACAAATATTTTATTAATCAAAGAGGCTATAAAATCAAATATTTATTTCCAAAAATCGCCCTGTGGAGAACTAAATGAAGCAATAAAAGTAAAAAATATTTCTTAGAAAAAACAGCTGCAGTGCACATGTTCTGTAAGTGGAAGGACTACAGAATTTAAATAAATGAAACACATAACTGTTTTTGAGAACAAATGAGAATGAAAAAGAGTATTTCTAGCCAGCACAGAATGCATCCAGATAAGCACACTGCAAATAAGAGATTTCACATAAAGGCTGATGACTCGGCCTGATAGATAGATAGATAGATAGATAGATAGATAGATAGATATCTTGAGATTTTTGTCACTAAGAGCTCCAGCCAAATAAAAGAGTAGTGTCTGTTTTTACTGTAGGACTTAGAGTTCAACCTGAATATGTCAGAACTGACTGTTGGGTTATGGATGGCCTGCAGAGGGGGGGTCTCCACCTCCACCTAATGCCACTGACATATCCATCTATTTCAGCTGATCACCACCTCTGGCACCTTCATAATGAGTGCCTGCTGAGAAACACTATTAGCTATTCTCTCTCTCCCTTTCTCGCTCTCTCTCTTCTGTCTTTATGCAGAGCTCAATTTAATCACTAATCTTCCTGCAGTAGCACATGATAAGACACGGTGCCTTATCCAGCGTAGCTTGCCGTTTGCACAAAATGCACAATATCTCAGCTGGTTACTGTCTTATAATCTATAAAATGTAAGCAAAGCAAATCTTCAGTCCTACATTCGCTTTCTGTATTTTCATTTAAGAAGTCCTAGTGAGAGAAACGGATTACTTCTGGATATAAACTGATTGTTATTTTTTTCCAAACAAATTCAATTTCAGGTACTACATACTGTAAATAAATATGAATTCAATGTAAAACTCTCTGTTAAAAGAATGAGAGTAGAAGAAATTAATAATGCATAGAGGATGGTGATAATCTTATATGTACACTGTGTGCACTGACCAGGTGATTAGACAGTTCAGTAACACAAACCTGCAATGTCAGCAAGCCTGCAAACAACATATAATGCAAGTAGGAACAGCTTGGCCTGCATTCTTAATGTATATTAATATGTCTCACACATATGCTGGACAGAGGCAAGAGATTCATTTAGATTACATGAATTATAAAGCACATCACTTAACTCAGAAATAAGCTGTGTTTCTCATGCTGCGTATTATGAGAAGCACATTATTATAGTATATAGGAGTGTTGGTATGTTTTATTGAGGCATATAATATTACTCCACAACGTGCTAATCAGTAAAAACTCTACTGGAGTCAATAATTATAATTAGCTGTGCATTTTGAGCTGTGATTAGTGAGTAGAGGCTAATACAGTTTAATATGTTAGTAGCTCAAAGAGTGAAGGACAAAGAGTGAAAGAGAGAGAGTATAATCCTTAAGAGGACTTAACTTCAAACCTTTCACTTTACCTCTCACTTCTCATCTTACTGCAGGCAACATGGACAAAAACACAGTTTAGTGCCCCTAACAATTACTTCATGTTTCTAAAAGCAGCTTCGTCTACCATCTAGGAAGGGGTTAAAGGAATAGATCAGGCAAAAATTTTAATTCTGTCATAATTTATTAAACTTTAAGTCAATACAAACTGGTATGACTTTCTTCTGTCATATGAACAAAAAACATCTAATTTTGTTTTGAGCTTCATTGTAAGGAAGAATGTTTTACAGGTTTGGAATGACATGAGGGTGAAGGTATCAATGGATGACAGTACCTGATTGTTGCAAAGGGACCAATTGGTTATCAAAACCTATATTTTCAATAAAAATTGACTGTTGTACAGCTGCAGTGCCTGCAGTCGACTCTTAATTGCCGCATTGTGATTCATAGAGTGAGGGGAAAAACATTCAGAAACTGTGATGTGGGTGGTTGATGAATGCAAATTAAATTAAAACATTTATATATTTAATTCACAATTATAACAAACAGACCCTGACCCTGCCAAAGCTCACTGGGAAAAAGGGGAAAACAGACATTTGGTGTGCCACCTGCTGCCCCCGCTGGAGCCAAGACAGCTCACAAACATGCACCAGTACATTAGCATTCCAGAGCACCTCAGAGGACTAGTTATTTAGGCAATAGCAAGGTCAAATGAGAGAATTTAAGAAGAGTCATGAAAGTAAAATGTATCTGGTTTCCAGATACAAAGGGAAGTGATGTTGTTCACTGGAATAGGACAATATACCCAAGTGCAGCAGAAGGTCAAATGACGAGGACATCTGCCATTAGGCTCTAGTGAAGCTGCTTCAGGAAGGTATTTAAAAATCCCTGTGGAGAGTGTACTGATGCAAGGTAACATGAACCAAAAAACAGGCAAAGACATAAAACTTAGAAGATTCAGAAACATAGAGATTGTAAAGTCGACGAGAAACATTATTCACAATCCATTTTACTTCCATTATGTGAAATATACTTAAGTGGAACTAATGGACATAGACATTAAGTGCTAATGGGTATACTTAATGGAATAATTTGGTTATTGCTCATAGTTTAAATCACTATGCCCGATTATTTACCTGCCCACATGTTTTTCTGGAGATCACCGACAAAAGCCCAAAATCTGAGGCAAATGTGCTCCTTCATGCGAGTGAAGATCACATAGTGTGAATTATCAGCGTTGCCTATGCCTGAGACATATTTAGCAGGCTAAATATCTGGACCTGTCTGCAATTCAGAGTCTTGCATTGTGTTTTGGCTGGAAATGACATCTGCAACAACCTACAGTACAGCCAAAGGGAGAGCAAGATACAGGGTAATTCTGCTCATGTGTGATCTTACGTAATTTAATGTACTGTACAGTTTTACTTCTCGCGCATATGTTTTGTAAATGAGACATAGTTGTTGGGGGTTCCTCCTAGTGAAATACTGTGCAATGTATGACCCCAAGTCGTTGATCTGTCATGTAATGTGCAAACAGCAAATTTATGATACCCAAAACAGTCGTGATCTGACAACACTGAAAACCGGGGAGTGTATTGGCGGCATAAGGAAAGTAGTTTCAGAAGTCATTTCAGAGGCAGATAACATTTTGACGAAAGATTATACTACTTTAGAAAAACCTGCACTATGCAACTAGTAAGTCAACAGGTGCAGATTATTATATATAGTGATGAATACAACAGTGTCAGTAGTCCATATTGACCTCTGAAGTCTAGATTTGAAGCAGGGTTATAACATTTGTATGAGGCAGTATACTGTCAAAATGCTCTGCTTCATTACAGGGTAAAACGGTTGTGCAAGAGAACTTTCTGCACTGTGGTAATGTTATCTTCGTTATAATGGTCAATGGTCTGTAACAGAGAAATCACATATTCTTCTGCAGGGCATTTTGTACTTGCAGATTATACATGAAGCAATTATGCTGAATCTTATCTTCTAATGAATCACTGTTTGTACTGTTGAGATTATATTTTGCATTTAGAAAAGAAAAAGAAGGGGAAAAAATTACAGTAGTTTTTGTCTCTGACCTCTGAGGACTGTTTTCAGGTTGACTTTGGCCTGATGGTGAAGGTCATCAACGCAGGCTGGTCTGGATCCTGGCAGGAAGACATGCTCCTGTTGGTGCCAGGGGGCTGTGTAGTGCACCGACCACTTGCTCTCCTCATCTAGACTGGACACCGCTACAAGAAACAAGGACAGATTAAAATTCAACATGTTTAAAGGAAGAAGGTCAGGGGTTTGTGTAATAGCGCACTGCAACTAATTAGACTGCTGAAAATGGTATATATGAAAAGATATACAGCATTTTTTCTCCTAAATAACAGATGGGAGACATTAAATTAAAGTGTACTAAACATTTTTGTTGCTCCAGCTTTGACCAGAATGAGCTTCCACTGATGGTCCAGGTTGGCTTATGTTAGTTAGTGTTGGTTTAACTGGTAGACTATGGGCAGCAAGGTCTTTGTGGTGGAGCTATACACCAGAAATGCACATATTTTCAATGGAAATACCTGAATAAAATGGTCTTTTAGAACTATTTAGGGGTGCAAATACAGCTACCTGGCTGATATTAGTGATATTTTTTACCATAATTTAACACTCAAAGATAATCTTTAAAAATACTAATACATTAGTTGGTCTCAAAATGAAAATTCAACCTTTAGATTTTCAATTATAATGATGCCTACTTGTAGCATTCATTTTCATTTATTTATATACTTTACATAAAATAGTACAAAATGATAATACTAGCCATAACAACAAATTAATTATTGGCTTATCAGTATGAGCCAGAATTTTAAAATTAGTTTTAATGCTAATCAACTCAATCCAGATGTCAGCAGGAGGAGATATAATTCAGACAGAAAGAAAAACTCTGCCTTTGGCTGCAGCCTCTCGGCATATAAGATTTGCGAGCTGCAGTCATGTGCAGTCTCTTAGGC